AGTCTCAGTTCGCGATTCTAAAAAATGTCTTGGCAGTCAATCAGGTCAGTTCACTACCTCCAGACTGACAGTTTGAACCGCAAAGATGAACTGACAACTGACTGATTGACTGATAGCAACTCTGATTTCACTCAGGCCAACCTCCACGTCCGATACACCTGGCTCCATCAGCTTTCCCTGCGTTGAACCCAGAGTTACTGCCTGCTGCACCATTCCAAGGTCCAGCGTTAGACGTGTTCCAGGCGAGGCTCGAAGCTCTCGTAATCTCGGAGAATACCAGATGGAAAGGCCCTCCCACGGTTGAGGTCCTTGAGTCACACAACCTCAAATGGAGGAACATGGGAACACACATTATTACGTTGGCAGGTTTCTCAAGACTGAAGCGACTTGATGTACCTATGGATATCTTAGGACGTCCGCACGACATTGTGTTCTCCAATACCAGTAGTCTGGATGTGACAAAGCACGATGGCACAGCGATTATGGATCGTGCGCTTCCAATGGGCAAGACGCTGGCGGAGCTACGTTCCAAGGTCTTACCGCTTACTATGCAATATCTTCACCTACGATCATGCAACAAATGGATGTTTGCCCTCTTGCAAAGAATCAACGAAGTCCCTGTGGAAGAATTGAGGCTCAGGCACGTCGAGCTGTCTTTCGAGCCATCGCCTAACAGCCTTTTGATACAGTGCGATGCTGCAGATCTGGGTCAACTGAATTACTCTCAGTTACTCGTAGATCTTGACCGTAAAGGAGTCAATGTCACTTTCCATACCGGACCGCAAGGAACTCTCGTGGACATGCGCAAAGAGATCGAGGCGCTTTCCTGTTTGACGACTATAGAGACCTGGCACTACTCGATCACGCACGCGCCATTCTCCAAGTGGAACCCAGAAGCTATCAGAAAGCGTCAGTCGCTGAAGATGGGCTTTAGATATTTCTTACGGCACGCTGACCACCACTCACAACTACTCAATAGTCCCACTTTCAACCTAGAGTCGTGGACACAGAGCGCCTTCTTCCACGGCACCAGGAATAGTAGATGGGACCCGCAGCTTCTGGATTCAAAGATGAAAACGAAAACAGTCGGGTCTAGTGGATGGAATGAGAGGGCTCTTGGGAAGCACGCACTGAAGCGACGACTTTCACCGTTATTGAGTAAGCTCTGATCCAATGTGGCAAGAACAGCAGGCTGACCAGCATCATAGATTTGGATACCTATCAGTTTAGCCTCCGGATCAAGCAGAGTCTTACACCGCTACCTAGAGAAAGCCGATTCCTTGGTGCTAGTTTCACTACCATAGACGGCACGCGCGCACAGCCTTCAGATCAGCATCGAAACACAGCGAAGAAACCTCGTACGTACGAAGAGAAGCCGAAGCGATCGAAGCGTGCTGAGTGTGTTGAACTTGAATCGCACACAATAACCGAGGTTCACAATCTACAAGACGATATAGACAGGCTACGGCTAGGACCTGGCAACATCATTAGCATAGATTCCCAGTTCAGTGCAACACTGTGGGCCGGTGTCAAATGGAAGATGTTCCTGGAGGCGAACCCGGCCACACGATGTATGAAAGTTCTGGAATAGCTTAGCGCTCTTAGAGAAGGTGGAGAAAGATGGCGAGCAGCAATGGCCCTAGATACTAGACCTATTTCTGTCAACATATGTTTATGGAAGGCCTTTTGCACGAGCCAATACCTATACCTTACCCTTGCTAGATACAGACTTCGTATTGTGAATTGCGGCTGTACAACGCGCCGCGTAAACTAGCCGTGTGGAGATCAAAGTGAAAGCTATGTTGCACGTGACGAGACCGTGCGCTTCCCTATCATAAAATTCGCCCTAAAATTAACATACCCATGTGTAGCACACGAAAGATTGGCCTGTACACAAGTCTGTGAGTACGAACCACGCTGATGATAGTCTAAAGCTGCCTGTGTGCAAGTCAACCACTCTCGCTGTTGCCTATCGCTACCTCGCGCCGAAACCGCCATATTATACCGGTAAAATCCTTATACAACCTGTCCAGGTTTCTCTAGTTTGTCCATAATGTTCCGTCGGTCCTTCAACTCCTCCCCAGATCGCGAACGTACGACCATCAACGACCTCCCCGATGAATTGCTGCTCAACATTGGCGCGCACTTCACAAATCTAAATCGCAATCGGGATCTTAGAAATCTCGCGCTTACATCCAAGAAATGGAAGCCTATTGCGCAGGAATGGCTGCTCATAGAACCGAGGTTCAATCTCACTTTCATTGATGGGTACATGTGGGAGATGGGTCATCGGTCGCACTTGCTGTCGCGCGTCAAGAAGTTGGAAATCTGGAGTCGCAGTGAAGGAAGAACTTCAAAGACAAGACATGTTAATCGCATCGGAGTATACGTATACCTTACCGACGTCATCTATAACCCGACCCCCGCTCCAGATCACATAACACAGCAAGCCGAATTCATGGAAATATGCAAGACCGTGATCCAGCATTACGCCGCCAACAAGCGACACGCGAAGGACTGGATCAACTCTATCACGACAGACGTCGTTGCCGCACTATTTGGCGTTCTTCTCTGCGTACTCCCCAACCTACGTGAGTTGAACGTCAGCGACGCGTGGCTAATGGATTCTCCTTTCTTCGCCAACACACGTTCTTCGTCCGCCATCGCGAACCCTCCACATCCATGGTTGTGGAGACACAGCTTCCTCAGTGGCGCGCTCGCAGCCACACTACCTCGTTTAACAGTGCTCGAGGTGCCCAGTGACATGACGGCTTTGTGTGGGAACACAACGTCATCACGCTTTTTGATTTCCGACGTTTCGAGACTCTAAAGGAAGTCATCCTTACCATGAGAGCAATCGAAGGCCATACCATCGCGCGCCAAGGAACACCCAACGCCAACCCGAGAGATCTTTCCGAGGACACTGGAAACATTACGTATCAGCGAAGCGACGCATATCACAGCTAATTTCCTCAACGATCTCTGTCTCGCCAAGAAAGCCTCCTGCTTTCCCAACTTGAAGCGGGTGGAAGCTTACCACATTGAATATCTAGAGAATACCAGGGCTCGTGCCGATCTAGCAAGATGCCTAGACCCAATAGACGATGTGCGCGCCATGTTCCGCGATGCTGAGGTTGCGGTGTATCTCTATTTTCCACCCTGGACCATGAAGACGTGGGAGTCAGAAAGTGGCACGCCGTGGAGAATGAAGACTGAGCCGGATAGGCTACGTCGTGGAGAATATACATGTTATCGGAAAGCTATGGGTCCCTTTGGAATACATCAGGAACCGATGGATAGGATTGAGATTGAGTGGGATGCCGAGGGAGACGCGGTCATGCTCTAGGGTAGAGTGTACATGTTTATGGCAATGAATGGAATGTAGATTAGTGTCAGACACTGGGGTTTTAGATTTTGCTCAGGAAGCATCACTGTACAGTATCGATTCGAGCGTTGGAAAATACAAGAAAGCAACTGCGGTCTGGATCATGTGTAGAATTGGCACGAGGTGGTTACACCCAGAAAAGTTTTCAATCCTGATGAGGGCATACTAATAAGCTAGGAAAATGAGGTGAAATCAGATATATCAGGCGGCGTTTTACCCCTCCCCCATCCAAGTCGAAACCCAAACCAGTATAGCCTGCCCCGCAATCTCAACGCGTGCGGCTGATACCCACATAGCTCTTTCCTCGTCGTGTCAAATTGCTAGCTGTCCCTTCGATCATTCATGGTCGGCACAGCGTTAGGCTGCATCTAATTGGGTGCAGCAACACAGTGGTGATCGCCAATACAATGCGTGCAGCACGTCCTCGTCTCACCCGGCGGCGCGTTTCTTCCACAAGGAGACCAACTCGGCAAGCACTGGTTGGTACAAAATGTCAGCTCAAGATCCGTCTCAGCTCCACAGTTCTTGACCTGACTACCAGCGGGCGGCTTTCCATACGCCCACACGATGCTCTCACACGTTGAATCCGTCGGCTTGAGGGTCATGGTACTTCCGGCAAAGCCGTCGCCGAAAATGTCGCTCATATCGTACCAGATCTGGTTGACGTCGAGGTTGTACGCGAAGATCGTTTGGCTGACGTTTGGCTTGAAAATACCTAATGGTAGGTGTGCGAAGTCAGTGTTTGTCTCACATGCAGTCCGTACAAGGGCATTTCTTACCGCCTTCGATTGGTGATATCTTGATCGCAATGCCTCCAGATTTCGGGTCAGTGACGAAGGATTCACTGTAGGATGTGGCAGGATTGACGATGTGTTGGTCACTTATGCTACCACCAACGGACCAGAGATAGATGGGCTCGGGGCATTGGTTGGTAACGATCGCACGACCTGCGGCATGGACGCTTGCGATGATAGAAAGAACTGTCAATGCGTTGAAGAGCATCTTGAAGTGAATTGTCAACTGGAAATGGTATCTGAGGTTCGAGATGCACACCCCTTGGAAACGAAGCCATGATGGACCCTTTTATACTGTAACGGGACTCAGCACATAGCGTGGCTGCTCCTCGTATTCGAAGCAACCAGCTTGCTACTCTTCTCTACACAGGAGGAAGCTGAGTGCACCGGTATGACCGAGCAGTTATCAAGAACCGAACTTCTTCGTTAGGAGTATTGGTGGCTGTCGCGTTGATTGGACAGCTATTTTCAGCCTCCAATGGGATGCGCGAGCATACGGATACCAATCACATGGTCCCACGTCTGAAGACGCGCTAATTGGTAGCTCAACGTCAGCTGCTACATGGCTAGGTTCCCTAATCTGTACGAGCTTCTTAGATGCCATTTCTGTGTGTAAAAGCTCGTATTCATGGTAGACAAAGTAATGGCTGTGTGTAACAGTGGCTGGAGAGCATCGCTTCCCTCGCTTCGAAAGCATGAATGGAAATTTGATATGTGAAGGTTACACTTTGACTGTGTCGGAAATTCTTGCTTGGACGGGGAAGATTTGTAGACACTATTGGGCTGAAGATCCTGTGATGCTGACGTCAATCAAAAGCACGATGTTTATGGCACCTCATCGACACTGTTGATTGCTTGTGTCGGCGTGGCGTTTGCACCTTCGCGCTTCTTCCTGCTCATCTCATACACCGTTTTCCTCAAGCGATTGATACTGCCTAGTGGCTGGTGATCAACCATACCGTCCCATGGGTTCAGCTTCATTGTGTCCTCCCAGAACACTCGTCGCTCGGCGCTCAGGGCATCTTGCGGTGGAAACTCAACTGTCGCGATCGTCTGGTATGGTGCGGTAGCTTCATCCCACACTACTGATCCGTCTTCAGTTGGATGATGATCCGGTGAGGTACCTAGCTGAATCTACTGGAATCAGAACAGCGCAGCCGACAGTTACGACAGGACTGACTTTGAACTCATACTTGGCGCCGTTTTGGGCAAAGTATTCCGACAGCCAGTCTCGAAGCACTTCTCGAGAGTCACCACTCTTGACTTTCTCGGTTCGGTTCTTCATGTCGTCAAGCACTGGAAAAAGCGCCATGTGGCCATACCAATCCCCAAATCTAAACGCGCTTTGCGTGTAAAACGAGTGGCTGATCATGTTGGTATTCGGAAGCATACCTGCTAAGATGAGCGAAGACGAAGACGCATTGCGACAATAAAACTCATACCAGGTGCGCTTTGTTTGATTGCATCTGTCCTTAGTTTCGTCGCTGCAGCCAGCTTCAAGGGACTATCAAAGTACTTCTCTCTCAGTTGCATGATCTCAAGACAGGTATCGATGTCGGTCAGTTCGATAGACGGAGCGTTGTTAAAGAAGAAATCCTGGGTACTAGCCTCAGGGTCAGCGCTTTGAAGCCTCTTTCCCTGCACTCCAAATACTCGCATTCCCAGACCGCGAGGCCCAGGTTCCTGGTCGGCCTGAAGAAAGACAGGCTCGTTAGCATATCGTGCTGCAACATCGTAAGTCTCCCCCGGGGTCTTGAAAAGGCCTTGCTGTAGATGTGCCGGCAAATCCGGAAGCACAGTCATCTTGCCCTTGACGATGCCCTGCGTCTTGACGTGAGTTGCCCGATAAGCATGCCTGTGCTGATCGAAGTTGTGCTGTTGCATCCGGTTCATCGTCTCTCCAATCTTCTTTGCCGTCTCAGCCTCGTTAGGCTTTGGTGCCTCCACGCCAGGCGCATCCCAGCGAAGGTAGGAATTGTTCGGCGGGGCGGATGAAATAGCACGCTTCGCGCTGTTGTATGCGTCTGAAAGAGACATTTCGAAATGCAATGTCTACCAGCCTTCCAGGACCCAGCGATACTTTACATGGGTCTGGGCGTGAATGCCGCACTAGTTCTAGCGGAGACGTCATAGATACATCATCAACTGCAGCGCTGTCAGTAGAGCGCGTTTCGACACTAGACAATTAAACCTTGGGAAGATACAATATTGACATGGTAGCAGCGTCGAAGGTGACCGTAATGGTTGCGTGTGATGATCTGTGAGGCTCAAGCATCGACGGATTGCAGGACCTGTTTCGATCGGTCTGCACTGAGATTGGCAAGCGCTAAGCTTCATGCAGCCGCTAGCGTGCTCCCATAACCTTGGAAAGGCATGACACCTTGACTATGCCGCTTGTATCGACTTGGCTTTCGACGAGCGCGATGCCAAATTGACGTCAAGCAATATGGCATCTGCTTCGCTGTCATTAACATCCCCCACTGGTAAATCACCATGTCCCCGTCGCGCCCATCATCTTCACATCCCGGGTCAACACACTCGTCGGTATCTGGATCCTCCTCCACCGAAAACATGACTTCCCGCGCCAGACCCATCAAACGGCGCCCACGGCCTGCGGAGAGAGAAGACTACAACCCCACATATCTGCCGTGGAAGAAGCGCTTAGACCATTTCACCTGGTCATGGTTTGAATGCACCATGTCAACCGGCGCCATCGCGACACTTCTTGGCCAACAACCATACAGCTTCCACGGACTGAAGACCATTGGAAAGATTTTCTTCATATTGGACATTGTCCTGTTCCTCGCGTTCAGCGCCTGCATCACATACCGCTTCATTCACAACCGCGGTTCTCTCAAGCTCAGTCTGCATCATCCTCACGAAAGCTTCTTCTTCGGAGCCTTCTTTGTCTCTATTGCGCTCATCATCTATTGTATTGAACTTTACGGCGTACCATCCAGTGGACCATGGCTTGTCAAGACATTGGAGATACTGTTCTGGCTGTACGCAGCAATCGTCATCCTGGTCGCTGTCTTCCAGTACCATGTCATATTCGACCGACGTGAGCTTCCCGTTAAGGATGCGATGCCCGCTTGGATTCTGCCGGTATACCCATTCCTTGTCTTGGGAGTCTTAGGCAGCACACTACTGAAGAGTCAGCCACCTGGCCCTGGTTTCAACATCTTTATTGGCAGCGTCACTTTCCAGGGCCTAGGCTGGACCATCGCATTCCTGATGCTTTCGCTCTACTTCACACGTCTGGTCAACAGCAACTTACCTGAAAAACCCAAACGCCCTGGCATGTACGTTGCTGTTGGCCCAGCTGCATATACCGCCAATGCTTGCATCGCGCTTGGCTTGCAGGCACCAAAACATGTCCCTGAGAATCTGTTGGGAATTACTTCCTTCCCTGTTGGCGATGCTTTCAAAGCTTTCGGGTTCATCATGGGCGTCTTCCTGTGGCTGATCTCCTTCTGGTTCAGCGCCATCGCTACCATCAGCATTGTCATCAGCGCCAAGGAATCGCACTTCACGCTGAATCATTGGGGCTTCATTTTCCCGAATGCCGGGATGACGATCGCGCTTATTTATATCGCCAACGCGCTGAACAGCCCAGGGATCAAGGGAGTGTGTAGTGCAGCAACTATCATCTTGGTCATGCTATGGATCCGGGTGGCTGTGCTTAATGTCAAAGGCGTACTGCAGAGGAAAGTGTTATGGCCAGGTATGGATGAAGACATGGAAGATATTGAAGGTCACGGTCACAAGCCGGGCTCGGACCAAGAAGACGGTGACGGGGAAGTATAGGAAGCTGTACCTGTCAAAGTATGATGAAGTCTATTGAAAGAAATGTATAGTAATGTTATTAATGGAATTGTTGACATCGTCCATCGATGCAAACCTTCACTGATCGCACACGTAATTCTGACAAGCGCAGCCTCCGCGCCGTCCCATTCTTCATGCAGTTTTTCTCAGCAACCACAACACGAACTTGACCTGCAACTCGCATATCGAAACCAAGCCTTAATGTCATTTTATAACATTTACCCTGACATAGCCATCGACTATGCGGTATGTAACACATGCGGTGTTGAAGCCTTTACATGGCTAGCCGATGGCTTTGATTGTCCTGTATGTGGTAGTGGTAATCGCGCATATCGTCACTACACGGATGACGAGATCAATACGAGTTGCACGAAGGTAGAAATCCAGAGCATGATGAAGAAAGACTACTACGATGAGGTTCGGCGGCTCTTTGTAAGCGTAGATAGAAGGAATGGGTGGTTGCGGAAGGATACTATAGTACCAACATGTGGGAAGAAGAGGAAACGTTCGCTAAGCGATGTCGGAGGACGAGAGAGGCAGTAGAAGATTTTTGCATGCACAAGACGGTTGACGTAAAGACCGGATGCTGCATTGACATATATAGTGTAAGGAAATTTATTTCATAATGTGAGTGCACTACAAATTCGAACGCGGACGCCGAACGCCCAGGATGTTCAAAAATACTGATAACATACAAAGGAGATAATAAAAACAAGTGAGCGCAGATGACAACCTATACACGAAAAGCCTATAACAACCAAACCAATCTGAACCACTACCGTGTTGCGTCGATTACAAAGCTTGAGAGCTCTTCGTCCTCTTGAATCCAATCCTCTTAGCGAGTGATCCAAAACCGCTAGCCCTCCTCTCTTTGTCTTTCGTCTTCTCCTCAACTCCGATTCTCGCCTTGGCCTTCTCACCCCAAGGGTTCTGCATCTCTTTCTCTATCTGCTTCTTGCGCTCTACAGCGAGTATGCTCACTTGATCGACGAACACGGACTTGTCGAGCAAATCTTCGACCCTAACCTTGAGCCCGTCTTGGTCGAGAATGGACGCAACTTGTGCCAAACCCATGATGTCGCCACCCAGCTGGAAAAAGTCGGAGCCAAGCTCTATGGGTATCGGGGAGCCATGCTCATCATGCAGAATCTGCTCCCAGGCCGATCGCAGAGTCGAGGCGAGGGTAGTAGTCTCGTGACGCGAGAGGCCTGTGTCGGTTGGCAAAGAGACAGGCTGCTTCTCTGTGGACTTCTTGCGCATCTTTTCCGAGTTGACGGTAGTCGAGCTATGGGAGCTGAGTTCTGAGGGGGATGGGAGCAGGCTATGCGGATCCTCCGAGAAGGCGGCAACATTGGCGCACAGCATATCGAATGCGTGTTGTGCAAACTCTGCAGTAATGGTGCTGTTCGGAGCGTACGTCAAAGTGACATCCATTTGGTTACCACGAGATGTTGTATGGATGGAGAAGTCTGCAAAATCTTCTTGTGAGCCCACGGCGCCGATCGTGTACTCGATGCCGCCTAGCTGCATAGTTGGTCGATCATCCTGTATGTTCTGGTCATGTTGCAGGACGCTCGAAAAGTTTGTCCAATCGGGCCACTCTGTGCAGTGTCGTGTGATCTCGCGGAAGCCGAGAGACTCGAACGGCATGTTCGCGATTTGCTGATCTTGGATGAACTTGAGAAGATCCATCACAGTCCACTCAGGACGGTATACAATGCGAACAGGTACCATGTTCAAACAGGGCCCGACGATGTTCTCGACGTTGGCAACACCGCCGTTGCGACCTGATATGACATGACCAAAAACGATGTCAGCCTTGCTTACAAGGCGCGAGAGAGTCGAAGCCCAAGCAGCCTTGGCTACTGTCGCGCTGGTGATGTTGACACCTTTCAGCTTTGGCGCATTGACTCTCTTCTCCAATGTGATTGATTGGCCAGCTGAGCGCTGGTAGTTGGGACCGAATCGGTTCACGATTTCGGTCATCTTGGAACCACGAAGCACTTCTTTCCAGTGCTCGTGGGCACCAGATACGGCCTTTGTAGTTTCCCGTACAAAATTACCGAAGCTTGGAGCAGACGAGACAGGAAGGCCGTTGTACCCATCTTGGAGCGCGCCCAGAATCTTTGACATGCACACTCCGTCGTACTGGGCGTGAGACAGTCGCATAAAGATACGGTATCGTCCCGTTTGCTTTTGCTTTGCAACGACGAACTGGATGAACGCTTCGCCGAGCCTTGGTCCATTCTCACGGTCCTTCTGTCGCAGGTCTGTGGTAAAGGTTTCGATGTCGTCGTCTGTTTGGTGGTAGATGAACTCGGGTTGAAGTTTACGCAACACCACCTGGAGAAAGCGGTCACCGTACGGGACGAACACAGTGCGGAGAATGTCAAAGGCTTGTACCATGCGGTAGGCAGCTTGCTTCAACTTGCGAAGATCGAGTGGTCCATCGCCATCAAGGTAAAAGTAGTTGAGCATCCATTTGGACTCCATGAGGGTGCCGGTAATAGCAAGAGATTGGAAGTCGGTGACGGGGAACACATCAGAGATGCCTCCCTTAAATACTTGCACCTTCGAAATAACGCTATCAACGTTGGGATCGCCAAGCATCGATACGGATCTGTTCGTAGAGCTCTCAACTCCTTCCTGGATTGTATGCGTGGCTAGCGACTTCTGGCTCACTTTGCGGTCGGCGGTCGGCCTCGTTTGGTTCGTCGTAAGCCCTTGCCATCTCTTGAACATTGTTGAATCACGGTTGTTCAGCTCTGATTCGGCAGGGATTTCGCTAGGAGCCATGCTCTTAGTATCGGCGTTGGGATCCGACACGATATCCTGGAATTCACTCCAGATTGATGGGGCTCTGTCGTGAAGGCGAGACCTCGACTGACCTCCAACACTCCTGCCTGCCACTGATCCGCCACCAGCCCGAGACATGACCTCGTCAATGACTTCGCCAGCAACACGCACGACCCGAGCCATGTCGGCGAATGTCGGGTTTTTGAAGACATCGGCCACGGTCATCGACAGGCCCTCCTCTCTCGCAGCCCCAACTAGGCGCATAGCAATGATACTGTCGCCTCCGAGTTGGAAAAAGCTGTCATCCTGCTCGATGGTTTCCTCTACCATTTCCAGCAACTCGCTCCACAAAGTCAGAAGCTTCTTTTCCACGAAGTCTGGTGCAACTTTGGTAGAAGCCTCGGTAGCCAGAACGC